TAGAAGAAAATCATGTTAATTACCTAAAACATAAAAAATAAATATTCTGAAATTTTATTTTGATTTGACTTTAGGTGGTTAGTCTATGACAGTAATTATACCTCAGCATACCAACTTGTCATTTGGGAAAATAGCCCAAAAATGGATTGAAGGGCAGGAAATAGCCAGCCCAAGATTTAAGTTTAAATTTTGAGGTAGATAATTTACAAAGTAGCTAATACTACAGGCAGAAATTCAGCTGTTGATCAAAAGTCGATCTTTTAAGGCCAAGGGATATACTGACACCATAAGGCATGCTGGCTAGAAACACTACCAGTTAGAAAGGCCACAGTCTCGATTTGCCTAGGATAGCCCCAGTATACACCTATTGTCCCAGCATCCCATCAGGTTTAACATTTGTTCTAGAGAGAAGCATCCCAGGTTGAATGATAACTTACATAGTATATGTAAATATATATTTAAATGTGAGCCATAAATGTCTACCAGCCAGTTTGTCCCAACCTCAATTAACCACAAATTTGAATGTCCTTTAATATTTTCCCATCCCAAAACCATGACAATGCTTACTGCAGAGTGTTCAATAACTACTTGTTAAATGACTTCATTAATTAGTATATTAGCATCCTCAGCCCAGGAATAGATAGGATTTGAAATTAGTCTGGATGCTGTAGGAAAGGGGTTCAATAAATACTAGCTGATTAAATCTCGGTAAGAAAGGGTGATTAAGAGTTCAACACTGTCCATTATATTGTTTTCTTGCTTGCTGTCAAGAAATTTTCAGATAAATGGTTTCCAGTTCTGTTTTGGGGAGGAGGAAAGAGAAGAAAGCATATATTTTCTTAATTGTCAAATCTCTTTTATATATAACGTAAATTACAACCCCACTGACTTCTATTTCATTTGCAATAAGGAGAAAATTTCTCCTTGAAACACACACACACACACACACACACACACACTGACTTAGTACTTACAGCTCTAAGTATAAGAACTGATCTAAGAATTTTACTACAAATTCAAGGACACATATATCAAATGTATAAGAATTGTTGCCTATGGCAAAAAGGTAACGAAATTAAATAATGGAGATAAAATAATCAATATATTAGACAAGAGCAGAGCCTGATGGATTGATGATGATAGTAAACCGTAACCCACGAAGTGTGATTAAGTCAAGCTTGTCTATATAAGGTCCCAAAAATTAAAAAAAAAAAAAGCAAACATAATACAGTTCACAGATACAATATGGGAACAATTCAACCTTCTGAAAGTCTTTGCTGAAACATATGACACTCCCACATGTGAGATATTCATGTCCAAAACGATTTCTCTCATGCAAAAAAAATTTTTTTAATCTATTTATTGAATCAGAACCATTTATTTTAAATGCAAAAAAGAACTTCCAGGAAATGTAGTGTTTTGCTGTTTTGATATTAAATACTAAAACTAATAATGGCTAAATTTGGCTTTTAAAGATATTTTCTCCTTTCCTTGATTTAATAAACTGCTTAGGAGTCCTGTAACTCAAAGAGAGGATAAACTGTAGTTGATACATGCCAGCAAAGTGGCCCCCATATCACACCAAATAATAACTCTTAGTGTACTAATCTTTACAACATCACCATCAAAGAAACTGATAAAGCTAGAGTGACGCTTGGGACAAGAAGTCCAAAGTGATGGGCAGAAGTAAGAGAGAAGAAAAATGAAATGGAGGGGAAGTCTCCCATTTATCAACTAGCAAATATATTTTAAGCCATGCTGTAGGCCTCAAAGCTCAGGAAATCAGAAAAAAAAAAAAAAAAAAAAGTGTGGTTCTCATTCCTATAATCCCTCTGCCCACATTCTAACCTTGGCCCCAACCCCATGAACAAGCCATGTCCAGCAGAGGGTTTTGCTGCTACTCTAGGAAGCAGATGGCAGCCCCATCACCTCTCCGCCCCAGCTTGCTACTGCCCAGGACTCTCAGCAAAGTCTGCAACCAAATTCCTCATGCCAAAGTTAGGACATTTCAAGTTTGTCATGCACAACCATCTTTCTCATTCCTGCAGCCTCAGCCATGAGAAGGACAGAGGCCTCCTCTCTCTTCTCATCCCTTTTCTCATCCCTGTTTCTCCCCTCTCGCTGCAAATCTCTCACCACTGACAACCTTCCACTGTGCTCTGGAACTGCAAGCCCTTGTCAGTGAAAATCCCTACACCCTCAGGCTTTCCCCAAAGTGGCCTCTTCACCTCCCGACTCCACTGAGATCTGCTTTTCCTTTCCTTGAAAAACATGTCATCAGGCAGCAACATACTTGCTAGGTTCAATGCTCACTATGCTACTTCTTTTCACGCCCTTTTCCTTGGAAAGGCCTTCCCTCCATCCTATTCTTTTTCACCTGGCTAAGTCCAACTCATTCTCCAAGAAAACAACTCTACTTTCTTTAAGAAGCCTCACCTGATATGGATGTCGCGCCTACAGCTAACTAAATGCCACTCTCCAGTATTACCGTAATTCTCTCTCTATCCCATATGCTCTTGCTCTCTCAGCACTCAGGATACCCTTTTACAAATATGTGTGTATTTGTCTTCCCCATAAAACTGTGAGCTTCTTGAGGGTGTATATTGGGCCCTATTAACTAATTACTGGCACGTAACAAGTATTCGATAAACATTCATCAAATAAATGATTAAAAATCTATGTCCCTGACTCCAATAAGTGAAATGAATGACGCAGATAAAGTGGACATTTTTTCCTTTATTGGAGTTTTCTCTCAATCTATTCAAGCTGCTCTTACTACCAAACAACATAAAGATATAGCCAAAGAAAAGCCAACTACCTTCCCTCCTCACCCTTACCTTTGAGGTAGCCACTGTTAAATGCTTGTTGTGTACTGTTCCATGATTTTTTTCTCTGCTCATGGAACACACACATATGCACACAGAGGGATTTTTCTCAATTTACAAAACTGGGATGCTGTATGACATAGATTTTATTCTAAAACACACTCTTTTCCCTTAACAATGTATCACAGCCGTCCCTCCAGACCAACGCACATGGGTCTCACTCACTCTTTCTAATAACTGTGTAATAGTCCACATATATGCACCACAATCTGGCCACTCATTCCCCCAGTGGATGAACAGTCAGGTTGCTTCCAGTTTTGCGGAATTTCTGAAAACAAAGTTAGCAAAACTGGTCTAGCATTTTTACAGCCAGTGCAATGGAATCTATCCACACATACCTGGGCCTTTTTCTTCATGACTCAAGCTTCTGAAAAACCAGCAGTTTCATCGAGTGACTGCTTCTTTTGTAAAGCGCTTGTTTTCTTTATGTGTCTTGCATGGTATATGTGTTTACTATTTATTGAATTGGACCAAAAGCTAACCAGATAGAAACTGTATGGAAGGATTTATGGGATGCATTGTTTGTCATTAATTCTTAGGATTTGATAGGAAATGAGTTAAAATAGGAGATTTTCATTTTTAACTTTATATACTTCCAGCCTGTTTGAATTAAAATATAAAGTACTAATCTATAATTTAATATTTTAATATATTATATAGGTATGTTAACACAGTTTTGTTGTATTAATACATTGATAATGATTTTTTTTTTTTTTTAAGACAGGTGCCCAGGCTGGAGTGCAGTGGTGTGATCTTGGCTCACTGCAACATCCACATCCCAGGTTTAAGCAATCCTTCTGCCTCAGCCTCCAAGTAGCTGGGACTATAAATGTGCAAAATGCCACGCCCGCCTAATTTTTGAATTTTTTTTTTCAGTAGAGATGGGGTTTCACCATGTTGGCTAGGCTGGTCTTTGAATTCTTGACCTCAAGTGATCTGCCCACCTTGGCCTCCCAAAGTCCTGGGATTAGAGGCGTGAGTCACCATGCCCAGCCTGATAGTGGATTTTAATATATTACTTGTATAACTTAAAAGTAGCTTTTTTGAAACTTGCAGGATGATTCAGACCCTACATTAGAAGAAATAAGCTGTAATTCAATGGCTCCCAATTCTGCCTGTACATGAGAATTAGCTAGGGCTTATTAAAAATGCAGATGCCCAGGCCTAGCCTGAATATTTTGATTTAGTAGATCTGAAGCAGAGTCATGGTATTAGTACCTTTGATAAATACTCCAGATAAGTCTTATGATTCTGCAGTAATGGGACCCCACTGTAATCGAGTGATCCTTAGAATCACTTTTCACATATGTTGGGACTCTACCTTTAGTGTTTAGGAACCATTAGATCTGGAATGAGGCCTGGGGATCTATATTTTTAAAAGGCTGCCGAGACAATTCTCCCCAGATGTGGAAACTCTATTCTAAGTCTTATAATTTCCTCTAGCTGGTAACTCAAAAATCAAAATATGATGGATCCATTTTGGTCTCTATTGGAAAAACACAACACCAAGTTACAAGTCTTTGATGAGAGTCTCCTAACATACCACAAGATGGCAATATCTTAGCTTGCTCTACCATAAAATTAATAAAAGCTTTTAATTGTTAGTTTGAATAGTGAACTGAATTTTAATACTTTTCTCTTAAATTTTTAAAAATAAAATTGCTTTGCTTATGAGATTCAACTGTTTTTTTGTTGTTGTTGTTTGTTTTTTTGAAACAGTCTCAGTCTGTCGCCCAAACTGGGGTGCAGAGGTGCAATCTCAGCAATTCATGTGCCTCAGCCTCTCAAGTAGCTGGGATTACAGGCGTGCGCCGCCACACCCGGCTAATTTTGTGTTTTTAGTAGAGATGGGGTTTCATCATGTTGGCCAGGTTGGTCTTGAACTCCTGGCCTCAAGTGATCCGCCCACCTCAGCCTCCCAAAGTGTTGAGATTACAGGCATTAGCCACTGTACCCGGCCAGTTGATTTCATTGTTGTCTTTTCTTTCTTTCTTTCTTTTTTTTTCTTAACCAACCAGGAACATTTAATTAAAAAAATATAAGCAAGTTATTCAGGACCTAATCTGCTAAGCAGAGTTATCCCCTAGAGGATGAAGCCCTACTGGCTGGCTCTGACATTCGATTCAGACTGAAAACACAGTAACTCCTCTGGACCTTGCTGGGAAATTCCCTGCCCAGGCCACGGGCAGCACTCCAGTGCAGCTGACCTCCCTCAAGGCCTCAAACACATGATTCCACTAAAGGCTTAACAGGGGAACCTCACAAGTAGGCAGAGAGCGCATCTGAGATACAAGGACACAGAAGTAATGCAAATGCAACTGAGGTGGACAGCCCCAGCCCCTGTCTCCTTTCAGTACCCCCTTAAAGGGGGCTGCTTTCAACTTTTTATTTTTTTGAGATGGAGTCTCGCTCTGTCTGGCACAATCTCCACTCACTGCAATCTCCACCTCGCAGGCTCAAGGGATTCTCCTGCCTCAGCCTGTTGAGTAGCTAGGACTATAGGCAGGCACCACCATGCCTGGCTAATTTTTGTATTTTTAGTAGATACAGGGTTTCACCATATTGGCCAGACTGGTCTCAAACTCCTGATCTCATGATCCACCCGCCTTGGCCTCCCAAATGCTAGGATTATAGGCGTGAGCCACTGTGCCTGGCTGTTTTCAACTTAAAAATAATAATACTGTAATTATTATATCCCTATCATAACCTACAAGCTGAGATATTAGAAATAAGCAGAGATCATTTTAAAGATCAAGAGCATTTATGTTTCCAAGGGTCTAAAGAACTTCCCGTTGATAAATTGGGAACCTAAGTAGACACATTAAGTTTCTGGTCTTATAAGCTTATCTCCACTTCGGGAGTATAGACAAGAGGAGATAACTGAATTGGAACACCATAGTGAAGCCCACAATTTTAAAATCTTTTATAAAAATTAATGACAAAATATACACTTTTCTAGACAAACTCAATTCAGTAACTACTAAGCATTCTATTAATCTTTTAGAATTTTTTTTCAAATTCACATAAATAAAAGTACTACATAAAAACATAGGTAAAATCCTCAGTCTTTCATAAAATCTAGGAAGTTCTGGTTCTCAACACTGAAATAGGAGGAAAAAAAACTAGGAATATCAAAATAACAACATCTAGTATCAGTGGCCCTTTGTCATTACCAAATGCCCACCAAGATGTTTCTAAATGTATTGGGAATTCCAGGTTACTTACCAAGGCTATTTCCTTTAAATGCCATGCCTAGGCCATTCTCTCTCTCTTCTTAGCAAATCAATGATCGTGATGTCTATTACAATATTGAAGGACTAATAACAGAAGTAAAACAAAGTGGATGTGATCAGAATCAGACAGACTTGGGTAAAAGTCAGGATCTGCCACTTACCAACTGTTTAGCTCAGGCAAATTATATACATAATCTCTCAAAACCTCAATTCCTTCATTTGTAAAATGGGGAGGTAATAACAGTATCTACTTGACTGAGTTATTGTGAGGATTAAATAATGTAATACATGCAAAGTACCTGATACATAATAAACATATACTAACTGATATTTATTATTATAGATGTTTTCCCTCTACAAGACTAGTTAGACTTTAAACTGTTAAATGCAAGATTACCAACATGAAGTTTGAAGGAGAAATAAGACAACTGAGTGAAATGTCTATAGCTGACCCCAACCATCCTGCTTGAAACTAGGTTAAAGAAGAAATGTTTGAGAACTCAGCCCCATTCCAGGGCTTCGAGCCCCTCAGAATCTCTGGGACCATCTTCATTTCACATTCTCGGATAAACCCCAGAGTCCCCTGAATAAGAGGAGCCAAAGACTAAGTGAAATTGGTGTGACTGCCTAACGAACTTGATGCTTCCTCGGGCATACCAAGATTCCCAATAGTTACTTGGCCTCTACAGTGTGCAAGGTTCTGCACTAAGAGGTTTGGGTGGTGTAAAGTTGAATCAGAAGTGGACTCGACCTCAGAGAGATTTACAACTTCTAAGACATATTCTCCATTGTTCCTTGTAGTATTTAGACTAGCGGTCAGCACCCAAAGCCTCAGTCTTAGAACACAGTTCAGAGATTGTTCCCATTCCGTCCATATACACACCAAGTCCCTTATGGTGTTCTCTGTTCCATGCTCTTTTTTATTTATCTAACATACATCAATAATGAGGCATGATTAGACAGGTAGTATTTCAGAGCCTCATGTCACCTCTGCAGCCTGGTATCTACAATATAAATTCTGTCATTCCACCAAGCACTTTCCACCCCATCCCTAGGTACAGATCCAACCAACCATATTGCCAGAGCAATCATCAACAAAGATCAGCTTGCTTGAAAAGGAATGAAAACATTCTGGATAGAGATTACTCTAGTCATTATATGCCCCAGGATGAACTCTGAAAAGCAGCCCTTAATTATCCAACACATGTTATCAAATTCCTAAACTCCTTCCAAAATGCAGGTTTAAAGCTTCGGAGTTAAAAAATAATAATAATAACTCTGCAACACCTCTTACAGGTTGCCTTCAGGGTATCAAAAGGGGTGGCACTTACTACTTTGCAAATACACTTTCTAAAAATAATCAATATTTTCCTTAAATGCTTATGGCAAAGCAACTAATTCACTTCATTTTCGTTGCTCGCAAGCTGCACAATGACTTGATCTCTTTAATATTTCACTCATAGTAACAGCCACTGAGCTATGACTAACCCACTCTCCCCAGCATCATCACTGGCTCCAGATGGCAAGAAATACATTCCCTTTATTCTTGCCTGAAAAGCAATTCTAATTTTTTTTTTTCTTCCACCTATTTCACCTGCAGTAACTGTTTTACTCCAGAAAGAAAATGGGTGGGGAGTGGAAGGGGAGGTTCATGCATAGGGTAGTACAGGTGGGGAATTTACTTTTCTTTTCTTTTCTTTTTTTTTACATGAGGTTTAAGCACTGCAGCTTTAAATAGTGCTGCATCAAGCCCTGGATTCCTTCCATAGCCGAGCTGCAAAATGGTAACTAGAAAGGAGGAAAAAATGCCTCTTCCTCCCTCCCGGCCAGCCCTTGCACAGCTCCCGGCAGGGCAGCCAGCGCGAGCCCATCCCCCACGCCTCCCAGCCCAGGCGCGCGGCGGGTACAGGTGAGCCGGGCGCCGACCTCGGCCCTCGGGCTCGCCCACATCCGGGGATCAAGGTCAAGGGCGAGGGCTTCTTCCCCCCACCCCTGGCCCCCGGCAGCCCCGAGCAGGGGATCTGCTGCCAAAGTTTCAGGCCGGGCTGGGGCCGGCGCGCCTGTCGCAGCTCCCCCGCCCTCCCGCACCTGCTCGGCCCGCGCGGGTCGGAGGACGCCGCCCACCTGGTCCCCACTCACCTCTGGCGGACATGGTGCAGGCAGCGGGAGCCGCCGCTGGAAGGCGGACGACAGCCCCGCGGGGCGCGGGAGAAAGGCAGCCCCGCAGCGCCCGCCCGGCGCCGGCGCCCCCCGCCTCGCGGTCAGTGGACGCCGCCCGCAGGACACCTGGCAGCCCGCTCCGCGCAGCGAGGCCGAAGGGCGGGGACGTAGCGGCCGCGGGGACCCGCCGGGCGCGGCAACGCTGACACCCGCGGCCGCGCTGGGCGGGGCGCGCCTCCCCCGCCCCGAACCGCCGGGGCCCACCCGGGTCCAGCAGCCGCTCTGCCGCGGCGCCGGGCGGGGCTCTGTCCCCGAGCACCGAGGGTCTGCGTCCTCCCTCTCCCGGCCCTGCTTCCCAGTAAGAGGAAAAATAACGTGGGTGCTCCGGGTGGCTCTCAGCTCTCTGCTTTGGTCCCGGAGAAAGAAAGCAAGAAAAGGTCGTTCGTTCCTTCCCCTAGGTGATGCCCTTGACAGGAGAGCGAAGACCACGGTCGCCTGAGGGGGCTTGGCCCGCATCCACACGCGGGGCCCGACCCACCTGCCCCTCCGAGCCGGCGGGGCTCTCAGAAAGCCTGGGGGGGGCATGGGGCGGGACTTTCCTCCAGCGACCCTCGAGTCAGCGCTGGGCGTCAGGGTCCCCCCACCCAGCACCCGGTCTTGAACCAACAGACACTCAAGGGAGGTCTGTACATGCACTTCATTTTCTGCATCAACTCTCGAGAGTCGGGGCTGGGCCGGGCTGGTGGCCACTCTAAACATCCACTTTTCCTGTATGCCAGGATAAAAAGGAGAAAATACAAGAAAAAATCTCTTAGTGTCCTGGAGGTTTATCAACTAGCGCTTGATGCTAATAAGCAACGTAATAAAAAGCCGCCAGATCCAGAAATTCTAAGCTAAAAAGGAGGGATTCCACTCTCACGCCCTGTCCTCTCTTCCTCTGTGCACTCTCAAAACACATGTTCCATGGCGGAGCATGGTGGCTCACTCATGTAATCCCAACATTTGGGGAGGCTGAGGCAGGCAGATCACTTGAG